CTTTGATGATAAACTTTGTGCCTTTATTTGCAAACTTCAATTATGGATAGGTAAAATTGGTGAAAACAATTATTCTGCATTCGTGACATTAAAATCACTTGATGATAAAAAGTATGGCATGATGTTTTCTTGTATGTTTGCCCTAATCAAGAGTCATCTGCAAATGTTGGCTGATAAATTCAATTATGACTTCCCCGAATATTATAACAATACTAAAGTAATGTTGACCAAAAACTGATTTGCATCCCTTTTAACGCTAATGCCGAAGAAGTTGCAGAAGAAATCCAAGAAGAGCTTATTGAATTCTGAAATGATAGGAACTGTAAGGACGCATTTGAATCTGAATCTCTGGAGCAGTTTCAATGTAAAAAAGCAATTTCATACACTAAAATTCAAGAAATTGCCTTGCGCTATCTTATGCTTTTCTCCACAACTTATTTATGCAAACAAGGTTTTTCTGCTTTGCTGGTAATTAAAAACAAGTCCAGGAATCAATTGAAAGTAAGTGATGATATGTATAGCTTTGAGCAATAATATTAACCCCCAGGATTATCGAACTTGTACAGAAGATGCTAGCTCAAAAATCACATTGATACAAACAGAATTTAATTTTTACTAAAAACGTTATGTTTTCTATTATAATACCGTTAAAGCATGTTACTCTTGAGTTTAACGATTACTAGAAAGGTTGCAGCCATCGTATTCAGCCCAAAACATAAACGGCAGACCATCAAGTGATGCCATCTGGCAATTCTGGATGGTCAGTAATGGTGGTCACTACGTCTAGCATGGCGAGTAGATGATCGGCTTAAACTTCTTCATTTTTTTGTGTTTGGGGTTAAAATTATGACTTATTTTATTAAAATAGTGTTTATTTAAGCAGTTATGAATAATATTGTAAAGAAACAGATGATTTTAATCCAAAAATAATTTAATTATTCAATTTTTTAGCAAGTGATGTAAAATTTACATATATTTGCCTTCATAATAGCTTATCTTAAGGTAGGTTTGTTCTTCCACGGCATCTTCTCCATCAACAGTGCAATATGTTTGTAAATTTTCTAAAAATTAATTTTCTGAATTTATATAAGCCACTACTTCCCTCGACAAAAGTGTGAGGTAGTCCTATCATCCGATCATACGGTAGGAGACACCACACTAATTAAAAATAATTATTTAGTGTTATTAAACGTCCTATAAATACTTTAAAATAGTTTAATTACCTTTACTGGTAATCCACGATGTTAAATGTATCTGCCCCTCGATGTGGGTTCCTGTCCGTGGTGAGGGGACCTCCCAGAGATGGTTTAGAAACTCTTCTTTACCATCCCTGGGATCTGAACGCCCACCCACGTGTTTGCCGTGCGTGGTATCCCGTATGCCGGAAAGGGGGATCCTGGTAGTTGAGGGGCAACATAACGTCCCCAACACACTGCTTTGGCCCCTGCTTCGGATAAACGGGAGGCTCAAATCAGGCTCCGTTTGAGTCAATCGGCTGGTCGTTGAGTCAGTTTTGACCTCGGCTTGGAGTCAACCGATCGATGCAGACCGGGCGGACATGTCATACAAGATGTGCTCTTCTTGACTGCATTGTGAGGGTATAGCTCCTGGGAAACCCTGGTGTGACGGTCTATGGGAGTCTCCCATGTGACGGCATCCCCTTGTTGGGCCCCATGGTGGGTGGGGTCACTAGGAGCTGAATTTTAAAATCTAAATATGGATTCATTAAAACCTAAAACATGTACTGATGCATTACCACCAGCCTACCTTATCGTTCATGCCATGGGAGAAACACCCCTATCTAAACGCTCCCCTTTTTTGATTCAAAAATTGTTTGAATCGACCGTTGGGAATCTGAAAAAAATTCAAAAATTGAGGTCAGGAGATCTACTTGTAGAAGCAGCCTCCCCTCAACAGTCAGCAAAGCTTCTGAAAATGAAGTCTCTAGGAGACATAATGGTAACCATCACACCACACACAAATTTGAACTCATCACGTGGTGTGATATCTGAAAGTGATCTGATGTCTGAGGATGAATCGGATATTCAGATCGGTCTTTCAGACCAAGGTGTCACTGCTGTTCGACGAATTTCAATCCGTCGAGATGGCAAGTTGATACCAACGAAACACCTTATTTTGACTTTCAACAAACCAACATTGCCATCTTCTGTTGCGGCAGGATATCTCCGTTGCCCAGTTCGCCCATACATCCCAAACCCGCTACGTTGCTTTAAATGTCAGCGGTTTGGACACTCCCAAACATCATGCAGAGGAAAAAAAGCATGTGCACAGTGTGGAAATGAAGACCATGAGAGTAATGAATGCACAAGTTCTCCATGCTGTGTGAACTGCAAAGATGCTCATCCTGCCTACTCTCGGAAATGCCCTTCATGGCAGAGAGAGAAAGAAATTCAGCGATTGAAGACTATTAATAATATATCCTACCCGGAGGCACGTCGTATGGTCACCTTAAATACACCAGTGAAACAAAAGACATTCGCTGCTGCTCTGAAATCCACAAAGACATGTGGAGTTCAGACAGACATTTCTGTTTCACCCGATGAATCTCTGACTCGCCATGAAAAATGTCTGCTGATACCATCTACCAAAGCAACAAAAAAAGAGAATAACAAAGCAAAACCACTCATACCTAAAACAGGGGTAACAACTAGGAATGTGGGTTCCAAAAAAGGCAGTAAGAACCCACTTAATAAACAAAGAATAAAAGCAGCCCTGTCTAAAACTAAAAAATCAGAGATTCAGTCTATGAGCGAGTTCTCTGACTTCTCTGATGAATAGAATAATAAGGGGGTGACACCACCAGCATCACCTCCAAAAGAAAAACCCCCTGTGAAATTAAAGCGGAACAACCTTGCTAAAAATGCTGCCTCAAACACATAATGAATTATAAAATAATCCAATGCAACTGTCGTGGTTTCCGCAACAACTTCTCTGACATTAAACACTTGACGTCATCTACCTCATCTCTCTGTGTGGCACTCCAGGAGACTCAACTAAAACCTGGAGAAAATATTTCTTTAAAAGGATTCAATCTTTACCGCAAGGATGATGATAGCCACAACCGTGCCAGTGGAGGTGTGGCTATTGTAGTTTCAAATCACATCCCATCCTTGCCGGTACAAATCACCACTAATTTGCAAGCCGTGGCAGNTTACTAAAGTTGTCTTTCTGGCGGTTCGTTATATCGGTAAAAATGTATTCGAAGGACGTGTGACTATTATCCTACAAATGTTACATACCTTCTCTTAAATGTATCCATTGAGACATTAAGATCAAGATCTTGTTGTAAAACTCTGGATGTGGCAGAGATTTGCCTGACTGGTAGATGCCAGGAAAGCGTTGTCTTCAGCTGATGTTCTCCGTGGTCTACCAGTCGATTTCCCCGGAGACAGGGAATCCATCTTCCGATGGCGTTTTATTATTCGAGACACTGTTCTTTTCGATATCTTGAGAATGTTGCTAATGTCGGCAATGGTTTTTCTGTCTGCCTTGTGTCTAATGACAAGTGATCGTAACTCCATAGTAATGGCTTTGGGCATTTCAAACTGATTACTCCAGCATGAATTATTACTTTTCCTATCCTGTCTTGTTACTTCTTCTAACTCGTGAATTTGCTAAATTGTCAAACTGACGGAATAAATGCTGGAGATGACAAAGGTTAGGATATGTAGTGCAATTTTATTATTTGTTTGTTCGGTGGGTTATTCGATCGTTTTTATCGTCGTTAAAATCGGTTAAAGTAATAAGTGAGGGGGTAGGTTCGGTTCGGACTCCACTTGCGGTGATCTTTCAAGTTACTCTCTATCGTATAACAATTTGAGGTTTGTGTTAATTGGCACGTTAGTCTGTAACTGGCCCCCTCGATGTGGGTTCCTGTCTGTGGTGAGGGGACCTCCCAGGGATGGCTTAGTAATTCTTTTTTACCATCCCTGGGATCTGAACGCCCACCCACGAGTTTGCCATGCGTGGTGCCCCGTATGCTGGAAAGGGGAATCCTGGTAGTTGAGGGGCAACAGAACGTCCCCAACACACTGCTTTGGCTTCTGCTTGGGATAAATGGGAGGCTCAAATCAGGTTTTGTTTGAGTCAATCGGCTGGTCGTTGAGTTATTTTCGACCTCGGCCTGGAGTCAACTGATTGATGCAGAGCGGGCGGACGCGTCAGTCTAGATGTGCTCTTCTTGACTGCATTGTGAGGGTATAGCTCTTGGGAAACCCTGGTGTGACGGTCTATGGGAGTCTCCCATGTGACGGCATTCCCTTGTTGGGCCCCATGGTGGGTGGGGTCATCAGGAGCTGAATATTAATCTCTAAATATGGATTCACTAAAAACTAAAACATGTACTGATGTATTACCACCAAGGGATGTCATTTCTTCCAATCAACCCACCTACCTTATTGTTCATGCTATGGGAGTGTAAAGTACTATATTTAGTTTGTTGCTCTACAACGAATTTTTCTTTTCAAAGAGCCAGGACCTAACGGGTACTTTACGCGGGTTCGCGTTTGTTAGTTGCCAGGCCCCTTGATGTGGGTGCCTGTCCGTGGTGAGGGGACCACCCAGAGATGGTTTAGAAACACTTCTTTACTATCTCTGGGATCTGAACGCCCACCCACGTGTTTGCCGTGCGTGGTATCCCGTATGCCGGAAAAGGGGATCCTGGTAGTTGAGGGGCAACATAACGTCCCCAACACACTGCTTTGGCCCCTGCTTCGGATAAACGGGAGGCTCAAATCAGGCTCCGTTTGAGTCAATCGGCTGGTCGTTGAGTCAGTTTTGACCTCGGCTTGGAGTCAACTGATCGATGCAGACCGGGCGGACATGTCATACAAGATGTGCTCTTCTTGACTGCATTGTGAGGGTATAGCTCCTGGGAAACCCTGGTGTGACGGTCTATGGGAGTCTCCCATGTGACGGCATCCCCTTGTTGGGCCTCGTGGTGGGTGGGGTCACTAGGAGCTGAATTTTAAAATCTAAATATGGATTCATTAAAACCGCAAACATGTACTGATGCATTACCACCAGTTTACCTTATCGTTCATGCCATGGGAGAAACACCCCTATCTAAACGTTCTCCTTTTTTGATTCAAAAACTGTTTGAATCGACCATTGGGAATCTGAAAAAAATTCAAAAATTGAGGTCAGCAGATCTACTTGTAGAAGCAGCCTCCCCTCAACAGTCAGCAAAGCTTCTAAAAATGAAGTCTCTAGGAGACATAATGGTAACCATCACACCACACACAAATTTGAACTCATCACGTGGTGTGGTATCTGAAATCGATCTGATGTCTGAGGATGAATCGGATATTCAGATCGGTCTTTCAGACCAAGGTGTCACTGCTGTTCGACGAATTTCAATCCGTCGAGATGGCAAGTTGATACCAACGAAACACCTTATTTTGACTTTCAACAAACCAACATTGCCATCTTCTGTTGCGGCAGGATATCTTCGTTGCCCAGTTCGCCCATACATTCCAAACCCACTACGTTGCTTTAAATGTCAGCGGTTTGGACACTCCCAAACATCATGCAGAGGAAAAAAAGCATGTGCACAGTGTGGAAATGAAGACCATGAGAGTAATGAATGCACAAGTTCTCCATGCTGTGTGAACTGCAAAGATGCTCATCCTGCCTACTCTCGGAAATGCCCTTCATGGCAGAGAGAGAAAGAAATTCAGCGATTGAAGACTATTAATAATATATCTTACCCGGAGGCACGTCGTATGGTCACCTTAAATACACCAGTGAAACAAAAGACATTCGCTGCTGCTCTGAAATCCACAAAGACATGTGGAGTTCAGACAGACATTTCTGTTTCACCAGGTGAATCTCTGACTCGCCATGAGAAATGTCTTCTGATACCATCTACCAAAGCAACAGAAAAAGAGAATAACAAAGTAAAACCACCCATACCTAAAACAGGGGTAACAACTAGGAATGTGGGTTCTAAAAAAGCCAGTAAGAACTCACTTAATAAACAAAGAATAAAAGCAGCCCTGTCTAAATCCAAAAATCAGAGACTCAGTCTATGAGCGAGTTCTCTGACTTCTCTGACGAAGAGAATAATAAGGGGGTGACACCACCAAGATCACCTCCAAAAGAAAAACCCCCCGTGAAATTAAAGAGGGACAACCTTGCTAAAAATGCTGCCTCAAACACATAATGGATCATAAAATAATCCAATGGAACTGTCGTGGTTTCCGCAACAACGTCTCTGACATTAAACACTTGACATCATCTACACTATCTCTCTGTGTGGCACTCCAGGAAACCCATCTAAAACCTGGAGAGAGAATTACTTTAAAAGGATTTGATCTCTACTGCAAGGATGATGATAACCACAATCGTGCCAGTGGAGGTGTGGCTGTACTGGTCTCAAACCGCATTCCATCCTTACCGGTACAAATAACCACTGATTTGCAAGCTGTGGCAGTCAGAATTTCTATTGGAGTAACTGTCACAGTTTGTTCTATATATTTGCCACCAGATGTCAGAGTCAATGAGGATGAATTAGATGTCTTGGTTGAACAGCTGCCAACACCATTCCTTTTACTTGGTGATTTTAATGGCCACAATCCTATGTGGGGTAGTCCCGACATTAATCGTCGTGGCAGAGCCATTGAGAGATTTATAGGCAACCACCAACTGTATCTATTTAACACTGGAGAAGTGACATATTTCCATGCCCCATCAAGAACCTTCACTGCCATTGATCTCGCATTAGCAACTCCGAATCTGTTTTCAGCATTTTTCCCCTCGATGTGGGTTCCTGTCCGTGGTGAGGGGACCTCCCAGAGATGGTTTAGATACTCTTCTTTACCATCCCTGGGATCTGAACGCCCACCCACGTGTTTGCCGTGCGTGGTGTCCCGTATGCCGGAAAGGGGGATCCTGGTAGTTGAGGGGCAACATAACGTCCCCAACACACTGCTTTGGCCCCTGCTTCGGATAAACGGGAGGCTCAAATCAGGCTCCGTTTGAGTCAATCGGCTGGTCGTTGAGTCATTCTTGACCTCGGCTTGGAGTCAACCGATCGATGCAGACCGGGCGGACAGTCAGACAAGATGTGCTCTTCTTGACTGCATTGTGAGGGTATAGCTCCTGGGAAACCCTGGTGTGACGGTCTATGGGAGTCTCCCATGTGACGGCATCCCCTTGTTGGGCCCCATGGTGGGTGGGGTCACTAGGAGCTGAATGATTATCTCTAAATATGGATTCTTTAAAATCTAAAACTTTTACCAAGGCACTGCCACCAGAGGAGGTAAATTCCTCCAACCAACGAACCTACCTTATTGTTCACGCTACAGGAGAAACACCTATGTCTAAACGCTCTCCTTTCTTAATTCAGAAACTTTTCGAATCAACTATTGGGCATGTCAAAAAAATCCAAAAATTGAGGTCGGGAGATCTACTTGTAGAAACCACCTCCCCTCAACAGTCAGGAAAACTTTTGAATATGAAGTCTCTAGGAGACATACAAGTCACTATCACGCCACACACAAGTTTGAACTCATCACGTGGTGTGATATCTGAAATCGATCTGATGTCTGAGGATGAATCAGATATTCAGATCGGCCTTTCAGACCAAGGAGTTACTGCTGTGCGACGCATCTCCATTCGTCGAGATGGCAAGATAATTCCTACAAAACATTTAATCATCACATTTAACAAACCAACAATACCATCTTTTCTTACCGCAGGATATTTGCGCTGCTCGGTTCGCCCATATATTCCAAATCCGCTGCGTTCTTTCAAATGCCAGCGATTTGGACATTCCCAAACATCCTGTCGAGGCAAAAGTTTATGTGGACAGTGTGGAGTTGAAGGTCACCAGAGTACTGAGTGTACCAGCACTGCATGCTGTGTAAACTGCAAAGATGCCCATTTTGCCTACTCACGAAAATGCACTGTATGGCAGAAAGAGAAAGAAATTCAGCGATTGAAGACTGTTAATAACATATCTTACCCGGAGGCACGTCGCATGGTCACTTTAAGTGCACCAGTGAAACAGAAGACATTTGCTGCTGTTCTGAAATGCACAAAGACATGTGGAGTTCAGACAGACATTTCTGTTTCACCAAATGAATCTCTGACTCGCCATGAAAAATGTCTGCTGATACCATCTACCAAAGAAAAAGAACAAAACAAGACTAAACCAATCATACCTAAAACAGGGGTAACAACTAGGAATGTGGTTTCCAAAAAAGCCAGTAAGAACCCTCTTAATAAACAACGAATGAAAGCAGCCCTCTCTAAATCCAAAAAATCGGAGACTCAGTCTATGAGTGAGTTCTCTGACTTTTTTGACGAAGAGACTAATAAGGCGGTGACACCAACAATGTCACCTCTAAAAGAAAAAGCCCCTGTGAAATTAAAGAGGGATAACCTTGCTAAAAATGCTGCCTCAAACACCTAATGGATTATAAAATAATCCAATGGAACTGTCGTGGTTTCCGCAACAACTTCTCTGACATTAAACACTTGACATCATCTACCTCATCTCTCTGCGTGGCACTACAGGAGACTCATCTAAAACCTGGAGAAAATATTTCTTTAAAAGGATTCAATCTTTACCGCAAGGATGACGTGCCAGTGGCGGTGTGGCTATTCTGATTTCAAATCGCATTCCATCCTTACCGGTACAAATAACAACAGAGCTGCAAGCTGTGGCAGCCAGAATATCTATTGAAGTAACTGTCACAGTTTGTTCTATATACTTGCCACCAGATATCAGAGTCAATGAGGATGAATTGGATGTATTAGTTGAACAGCTGCCAACTCCATTCCTTTTATTGGGAGATTTTAATGGCCACAATCCGATGTGGGGCAGTCCCGACATCAATCGTCAAGGCAGAGCCATTGAACGTTTCATAGGCAATCAACAAATGTATTTATTTAATACTGGAGAAGTGACATACTTTCATGCCCCTACAAGAACATTCACTGCCATTGATTTGTCCTTAGCTAGCCCAAACCTGTTCCAGCATTTATATGGGAGGTTGGATCTAATCCACTCTCTAGCGACCACTTCCCAATATTTCTAAAATACGAGGCAGAGAAAGCTGTGAAACAGCCCGTCCACCACGCTGGAAACTGGAAACGGCAGATTGGCCTGCATTTTCCTCTTTGGCTAACATCACTGAGGAAATGGTCAATACTGCTGATATCAATGATGCAGTTGCATTTGTCACTTCTACTTTTATTCAGGCAGCTGAAAAAACAATGGGAAAGACATCAACTAGATATCCATAGCACCCGTAACCATGGTGGGATCAGAATTGCGAGGTAGCATTTAAAGCACAAAAGAAAGCATGGGGGATTTTTAGAAGATACCCCACTGCTAGAAATTTGATTGCTTTTAAAAAAGCAAAGGCAAATGCCAGAAGAGTTAGAAGGCAAAGCCAAAGGGATTCTTGGAGGAAGTATGTTTCTAGCATAACATCTTCCACTAGCTCAAAAGCAGTCTGNTATATATATATATCTATTTATTTATCTTTTAGCTTTTTGTTCGTTCTTGTTTGTTATTAATATGTATATATTTGTTTCTTGTTGCTGTTGTTTATTTATACATTTATTTTTGTCATATGTTTGTTATTTGTGAAGTTTATAATTATCTACCATTTGTTATGGCGCAGCTTAGTTTACATGGCTCTTGTGCCAAAAAACCAATATTAACCTAACCTAACCTAACCGTTTTCAGCATTTTCATGGGAGGTTGGATCTAATCCACTTTCTAGTGACCACTTCCCAATATTTCTAAAATATCAAGGCAGAGAAAGCTGTGAAACAGCCCGTCCACCACGCTGGAAACTGGAAACGGCAGATTGGCCTGCATTTTCCTCTTTGGCTAACATCACTGAGGAAATGGTCAATACTGCTGATATCAATGATGCAGTTGAAGTTTGTCACTTCTACTATTATACAGGCAGCTGAAAAAACAATGGGGAAAACATCAACTAGATATCCAAAGCATCCGAAACCATGGTGGAACCAGAATTGCGAGGCAGCATTTAAAGCACAAAAGAAAGCATGGGGGATTTTCAGAAGATACCCCACTGCTAGAATTTGATTGCTTTTAAAAAAGCAAAGGCAAATGCCAGAAGAGTTAGAAGGCAAAGCCAAAGGGATTCTTGGAGGAAGTATGTTTCTAGCATAACATCTTCCACTAGCTCAAAAGCAGTCTGGGATAAAATCCATAAAATCAATGGGAAATACGCTTCTCACTCTCTGTCCATGCTGGAAAATAATGGCACAATAATCAGCGATATACAGGTTATTGCTGATACGTTGGGTGAAACGTTTTCTACTTCATCCAGCAATATTATGTATTCGAGAAGTTTTCAGGCTTATAAAGCCCAAAGTGAAAAACAGGGTTTAAACTTTCACTCCTCATCTAATGAGGAATATAATGTGCCATTCACCAGCATAGAACTACGTACAGCGATGTCTCGCTCGGGGAATAGTGCTGTAGGCTTGGATAAAATCCACTACAGCATGATAAAAAATCTGTCTAACAATTCTCTTTGTAATCTTTTGAATCTGTTTAACAGAATATGGACAGAACACACTTTTCCTGACTCTTGGAGGCTATCGATCACTATTCCCATTCCCAAGCCTGGTAAAGATCACAAGAATCCCTCTAATTACAGACCAATCTCTCTGACAAGTTGCCTGTGTAAACTCTTTGAGAGGATGGTAAACAGACGTCTGATGTATCTCTTAGAGAAAAATGAATACTTTTCACCACATCAGAGAAGTTTTCGTAGGAACAGAAGTACCACTGA